AAAGTACAACCCCCCCCCCCCCCCCCCCCCCCCAGCAATCCAATACAAATCCTAGGTATTCTAGGTACATTTATTCTGCCAGAAGCCTCATTCAACAGAAAGTATTAACAAAAGAAACCTAAACCTCACCCTAAGAATACAAATCTAGATCAATAAGGAAGTTTTTTCTTAATCTTAAAATGCCTTGTAATTTCTAAACCAACCAAACCAAAAAAGAATCATTAGTTTAAGCAAAATTCACAAAGGTTTTGGATGCTGTTTACATAGAGGAAGAAGAGCACTTGACTTGTTCTGATACATCAATGATAATCCATTGTGTCTTAAGACAGGCACGTTATTTATCTATGTACAAATAAGTTTAGTTGCGCAGATAGCTTTTAAACTAAGCATGATGGTTCCAGGTGAAGGTGAGCATTAGGTAAACCTGGGAAGAGATGCATTAAGTAATTGGAAAAAAAAGCCACTCACATGGCTTTTAGCAATTCATAGAGAATTTTAAGGATAAGGCCACTTTAGGGAATGTGGTGTGGCCATATCCTCTGGTGCTACAGATACGCATTGGACAGCAGAAAATTTATATCATCTTTTGTGGGAGGGATTTAGGGAGAAAAGGCACAAGTAGAACACTTGAGCTGCTCTATATAATAAAAATTTGAGATTCGTGAGGTGTCTGGGAATACCTTCTGGGTCCTGGAGAGCTGTCATTTCCTTTGCAAAGAGTTAGGTATGATCTGCTATTTGAAGGTCTTCTATGGAGCTAGGATGAGGTGCTGTGATTCTGTACCATATTCTGGAGGCTCACTCTCTCCCTCAAAAGTCTGGGAGGTGAAGTACTGTAAGAAGGGTCAGAGATGATGACCAGTCTTCTCAACTCACTGCTTTAAAGAACTTTCTTATGTTTCCAACACTGCATGTACAACTGAAATATCTGAGATCAAGTGTTATTTTATGAGGCTGCCAATGTCTTTCTGAACAATAAATGTAGAGATTTTATCATTTCTGTTTGAAAAATAATACTGAGTACTTGTAGAAATATCATTGAAGAAAATGGAAAGGTCTTATTAATCCTCCAGCGTGCAAAAGAGGATAAAGGGAGAGAAACAAAGGATAGATTTTCCCCTCTTCTTTTAATACATTATGTGATTGTTTAACGAAGAACAGACTTGACTGTTCTTTATATGACACATGAAATTAGCTCTAAGTTGGATCTGTAGTTTTTTGATAAACTTGTCTCTGTTGACATAGTGACTTCCAAGCTGTGCAGGAACTGAAAGCTTAGCAGCTGAAACCCATAAAACTGTAAGAAACCTCTCATCCATTTAATTCTGATTAAGGGTCTCTGTGACTCTGGCAATATCCACTTTTACAGTCACTACTGTGTTTATGTGTCTGTCTAGTAGTAGCTGCAAAATGATTCTTTATGTTTCAGCTTCCTTCTTGGGTCCTCTGCACATGTTAATTAAAGAGGATGGCTTGGATTCCAGTACACTGGTTCAAAGATCATACTTGCAGTATATCATCCTCCCTGACAGTTTGATGTCTGGTATTGTGTTTCACCTCTTAGGGTAATAGGAATCATCTGGGAAGGCAGCAGATTTAGAGGGAATGATAGATGACTTGTTTTTCTGTTCCCTGTGTCTTTAACTTCCCTTGCTAGAAACCTGGTAATAAAGGACCACCTTCTACAATGCATGGCTTTTATCTGCCTAGTTCAGGAATTAGGACCTGACACAAATTCTCCCCACAGTGAGTACACCATGAGGTCCCAAAACCATACCGGGGCCCCAAGTTCTTGTGGATTGCCTTGCTTCTCCATCTAGCTTGGAAAAGTGAGAATGGGGATACTAATAAGTCTAGAAAGAGGTTCTATCCATTACCTGTGTGGAAAAAGGTCTTGCCAAGGCAGAAGCATTTATCCTCACTTTGCTGTATAAGAGATGAGGTGCTCCTCTTACCCCTATCCTGATCCTCAGCCTGCTGAGGGGATAAAGAGCAGTAAGTGAGCTGTTCCTCCTTTGCATAGGATGATTTGGCCTGAAACTCCCTGTGCCATCTGCTGAGTGAAAATGATTCTGCCTGGGGTGTTAACACCAGGTCAGAACACACCAAAGAAAGACAGTCACAGAAGGCATCTTCAGTCCCAGCCAGGAATCACTGCTCTGGTCTTCAGTATCAAATTTCCTGCTCTTGAAGAGACTCTTGGAGAAGCAAGGATATTGTCAGATAAACACTTTCCTAAACAATATCACTACCCTACGCTCAGTACTTTCTGGGCTTAAAACAGTTGGTGGAATGGAAAGGCACAACTATCAAAAGTCTGTCTGGGAATTTTTCAAACTCAAGCATCTTTTTTATTTTTGTGGCACACTGAAGTTTTTCCCACAGCCAATAACATAATGGTGCAATAGAGAATGAACAAATGTTATGGCAATAGTAGACAACATCATAATGCAAGTATCTGTAGAATCTAAGTCAAAGTGGCCCAATCCACAGTATACCCTCAAATTTGGATTTTTTATTGCTTGCAGTAATTTCTGTAATCTTCAATGTCTGGAAAAGAAGAAAACAGCAAGTTATTATGACCAAAAAAAGTGACAGTTTAATGTTCTGTGAATTTTCTGAGTAATTTTTCATGTTTGTGACATTCTCATGCTCCTGTTAAACTCAAGACTTTTTACAGAATTTATTAAAATCATATGGTATAGTGTCAACTTGCACTTCAGATACTTCCTGCTGTTTTCAAGTTTTGAAAAAGATTGCGTAAAAATTTTTCACTTGTGGATGGAA